AGAATAAAATAACGGAGAAAGAAAAATGGAAGCATTTTAGGTCAAAATACCTAATCCAACATAAGCTATCCCAACTCAATTCCAATCAAATTAACGTGGATTTAGTGTGGTATTATAGGGGAGTCAGGATCATCGGGGAGGGAAGTGTGTATGTGGCCCGGATCACCGGGGAAGGGTTTATCTTTGTGTACAGTCTAGCTGGACGCCCTTTGTTGGGGTGACACCTTCACGCGTAGCTTTGAAGCTTGCGTGATGGAGCGAATTGAAATGGCGCTGAGCTGTTTGATCGCCCTCTGCCAACTTGTTATGTTTTCAACACCATTATTAATTAAATCATCGTCGCAATTATTGATAGGCGGTAGACTTTTAAAAACGTGGGTGGTCGGTGAATTGATATACGAGGGGGTGTATGGAACATGTTTGGGGTTGTATTACGTTATATTAGTCTTTGGGGAGAAGAACGGTTACATCACAGAGCCGTTGCAATACTCGACAGACACAGGGCTAACGCCACTCAGCCGTTCCAACAATCGATAAGCATTAAGGTCAAGGTCATTGCTGAGCCATAACTACCATCAATAGGTACCCAGTGGCGAACACTCCCTTTCTATTTCTTTGATAGTTCAAACTGATGAACTATAAAACTTCTTTACAAGAGTTACTGTGAAATGCATCGCATTTCCAAACTAATTAATACAACAAAATATTAACAAAACATATTTTGAAATAATTTCTTCTTAAACGCAAACTTTGAATCTATCCAGCTGCTTCCTAGGTGAGTGCTGGCTATTTCCCTTGTGTATTTATTACCGGGTATTTACAGGTACTCCGGTTTCCTCCCACATTAAGCCCATCTGCGCTTACATCCGGGCTAACAAGTAATTGATTTAAGTTGAAAAACTTGTTTCATTATTATTGTAAGAAGTAAAGTTTATTTTAATCATACATGATACAATTAACAAAGAGAGGGACACTTATGAATATTCAACAAAATATATCCGTCAAGTATAAAAATACGTTGAACCAGTTCATATTTCAGTGTGTAGATGAAAGAGAGAAATTGTCAAATAAAGAAACTTTATTTAAATGGCTACAGGGGCATTCCGGTCTTACATTTTTTTAGTTTCTTGATCGTTCTAACAGGACTTTAAATTGTAACCGTTACAAAAGTTCTCCAAACTGTCCCCATGTATAGTCGTAAAACGCCTTTATTTCCATAGTACTCTTTAATACTAAGTTTGAATGAAATAAAAGACATAGAAAGGGACCGTCGGCATCTCATTGGCGTACACCCACAAACGTGGCAATACATCAGAGGCCACGGCGGGCATGTTTTTAGTCTCTCATAAAATGCCCGGAAACCATTTGGCGGAAGAAGAAAAAGAAGAGGAAGATGAAGAGAGAAGATGAAGGAAGAATAATTATGATAAGAAGAAATGAAGCAAAAACAATTAGTCCCACGTTGTGTTTTGGTTACTTTATAATACAGGATTTTGATATAGACACATTCAAGCGGGCGGGTTATTTTTCCAAACACATTCATAATACTTTCTGACGTCAGCAGGAATCATTGATATCGGTTAATGCATGTTACTTACATGATTATTGACCAATCAACGCTTCCGATGCCTAACTGAATCATACAGGCCAACATGGTTAACGAAAAGAAAATCCATGAAATCTACGGCAATTATTTTTATGATTCCATATCTATAGTGTACAAGGGTCAGCTTTTGACGTAAACGCATACCGCAGGTTGAGCCATATTTAATCACAGATTACGTCAAAGGAGGATTGCGCCTAGACAGCAGGCTGTGTAAATGGCGGGGTGACTCCACCCACACGGCGGGGTGACTCCACCCACACGGCGGGGTGACTCCACCCACACGGCTGGGAGTCTACGCGTTACGTACGTCCTATCGTTAGGACAGTAGTCGCTACAGAGTTATACTGATGGATACACAACCTAACTTGCAGTCGACTGGGAAACTTTATTTAATCATCAGATTTTGATCTTGATCATGCAAAGTTGATTTACACAAATGTGACTGAAAATTTAAACTAATGTATCTCTTGGACTTTTGTATTTTGTTTCGATGGAAATCAAAGAATTATTGAGTACAGACCTGTACATGTGTCTGATTCTATCATTTTTGGTCATTGCAAACAGCCAAACATGATGAAGACGTTTGTTGAATATTTTGTTTTACTAATTTACGAAAAGTACATGTACATTAAAGCAATAAATGTCATCACCATATATCTTTAGTCTGTTGTTTCCGTATATCCAAGTCTAGGATGTAAACGGTGTTATTATAATAGTCGTAAATAATACAGGAATATTCTCATAGAATTAGAAACAGACTGCAGTAAGTACTTAGTATTAGATATCCGCAAAGCAAAGGTAAATGTATAATGTTTTCATGGGCCATTCACCGATATTCACTGTATCAACCATACTTCACAAAACATCGTGATAACGTGGTATCGGGTGATATCGTGATAAAATATTAAAAAAAAAAAAAAAAATCAATTTGAAGATTTTAGAGAGGCTAGTTTTATCAATGGCAGCGCTTTTTTGGTGAATGAAACTAGAACGATGATGCCGGAGTCGTTAAGCCTTGATTGATTCTACTTTCATCTTTGCAGCTATTATCAACCGTAGACAAGTTAGTTTCTTACCATCGTTAGGTAGATTGTAAACATAAAACAGATAAAGCCCGGAACCGATATGGCAATACACACTTAACGCAAAGACAATCTGGGGTTTTTCCCCAGATGTTAGTGAATCCGTATCTAATTGAAATAGAGTTCTTGTCTTTTGTCCGGAAAAGTGGCATTTTATTCCAATGATTTTCAGCGGAAGAACAGTAGAATAAGAAATTTTGTATGATGATTGTCATTTTGGCATGCTCTGACATAAGAAAAGGCGTTATCTTCAATAATCTAACTTAAATACAAAGCGATGCTTCATAGAGTACTGGCAATATTTGTTCAAAGGATAATGGTCATCGATTTTGTTGATTTGTCACAAGGATCAGACATGAAATACAATAACATCATTTACATTTATACGGAAATGAATAAAAAAAAACAAAAAACGCTCACTTTCATTCAAAGACAATGTTTATTATACTGCATGTGGTCGGATGGCAAAGTGGATAGCGAACTTGCCATTCATCGTGACGGCAGGGGTTCGATTCTCACGAATCCTATTCATTGAAACTTAATAAAAAGGAACGCATATTAATATGCAGATTTAGAACTGCAAACTTTAAAATCCCAATTGAAACTGTGAGATGGATAGGAATACCTAGAGAAGAAAGAATATGTAGTATATGTCGTGAATATATTGGGGATGAATTCCATCACTTGTTTAAATGTCCAAACACCTCAGTTAGTGTATTAAGGGGAAAATGTTTTGCAGAATACTTTACACGTAATCCTACATCTTATAAAATGAAAGGTATGTTTAATATATGTCATGTTAAACTGTATAAAAATGTTTGTATATTTCTAAGAAAACTTACTTCAATATTACAATAGTAGAAATTGTATTAAATGCCAAACAATATATTTTTTCTACATTTTCATGTTAATGTGTATCACTTTTGCATTGTGTAATTGCATGGAAGGTTTAAATAAGTTATAAAAATATTAATTAAATATTATACTATCTATTAATTATATGTATGTATCTGTATAAGATACACGTATGTAATTTGGTAATTCGTAATATGGTGATCATAATGATATTATGTAATGATGACCTCTTGTTACACACTTAACGTGTGTCAGAGTGTATAAATAAAAACCTTGGTAAAAACCTTGAAAAGGTATTGGGTTATTTGCTCGACCACGTGGGTGTTCTCCGGGTATTCCAGTTTCTTCCTGCATTATGGCCACAAGCGCGCTCCCATCCGAGTGATTAATATAAGTTTAAATAACTTGTTTCGTTTCTTAATTGTAAAATAAATCAAGATATATTTACTTCACTGCGACCTAAATCTCAGGAAGTGAGAAAAAAATACCATGTTTTAATATGGTGTTAATATTGATTATATTCTAAAATCAAGGTATATCTAACAGGTACTTTTTTGTGAACTTGTTAAAGGGCTTCATTCGCTTCAATGATTAAAAAAATATTATTGTACTCGAATATGCTACTGTAGCGGAACTGGACTGGGTCGATCGGCTGTGACCAGATGAACGTCCGTCTAGAGTTCGGAGGGTCTCGGGTTCGAACCCTGGTGTGGCCGTTACATTTTCTTTTTCTCCTTTTACACTACATTTTTGTTAGTCAGTAGGGAGAGTGAAGATAAACAACCTCAAGGTCATGACATTTGGTTTGTACAGTAACTTGTTTCGGTGAAGGGCTATTAAATTGTTTAAATATGATTTGTCCAATGGGTTTTAAAACTCATACAACATCTTCCGAAAAACCACTATGCCCGGGGTCTTGCTAATTTGGTTCGTTGTAACTTGCTTTGTTGAAGGGCTATCAGGTTTGTTCAAATGAATAGCCTTGTTTAAGTTCAAATGTCGGATGTCGGGATCGGATGTATTTAAATCTTCGAACGACATCTTCTCAAATATCACAGTGTTCAATGTCATTACATTTAGTCTGTTGATAATTTTGGCGAGACCTGTCAGATAAACTCGAACGAATTACCTTAATTCATAATGCAAGTAAATAAGAAACGTTTCTGTTCTGATGAACTATAAGGTCTTTGTTAGACTATGCTTCATCTGTAACTTGCAGGGCAGAGGGCTTTCGATATGTTCAAATTAGGTAACTTGGCCAATATTACAGAAAGTCACAGTTTTTTGTGTTCAAAATGCAAAGTACTAGGCCTCAAGTCATGGTAATTGGCCTGTTGCTTGGTGAACTGAATGGCCATCAACAAAATTGCAATAACTTTAAGTGATCTAAACTTATCCAAAGTCACAATATAACTATCAAATACCACAGACAACTTGTATATATTTTTGTAAAAAATTGTTTATTTTATTAAAGATTTTTTTAGTTTTATATTCATTAACAATTATAGCAATATTTCACACACACGATGTATACATTTCAAACGTATTTTACAAGTTATTCGACTCAGGCAAACTGGACACTATCGTCACAATCAGTTGGGCCTTCCGTTACGTGGGCTGTGCGATTAGAACGGCTCATTTACATATATAAAACATATCGAATTTGACGGATTATCTTAACATTTATATAACCGAGCACACACCACATATGGAGGTCACCCAATGTGCACTTATAGTTCTAGTTCCTGATAGTACTATCAATAGGCATGAATACGTAAATATCTCGGAGTACACACAATTTGATAAAGATATCAATAAAATTCAATGGGACTGACGTTGCGATGTAAAAATAATAGTACAAACATGATCCACGATCAATCAATGAAATAATGGATATCAAGGGTGGGTAACATACCTCTGTCAGCACGCAAGCTTAGACGGATTACCGAGCCAAAAGACAAAGGGAGCTAACTACTACATCGATTCGATGCACAACTCAACCGTGCCTGCTGGTTAAGGATTTTGGACCTCAAGTTTAAGCACCACCACATTCACATCTTCACCTAGCGCCATATTGACGCCCCGGTATGTCCTAGAAAGTCATATTAGCTCTAAGAATAGTTAACCTGTTACATTTATCTCGGTGGCGATATTGATCGTAATTATATTTATCACAAAACCAAGCTTTAATTAATATGATTTCCAAACTTTAAGTGAAATATTAAAAGCCATATTTACATTTATTTTAAGGAATGAACCTTTATCCAACCTCATTTAACGTTTTATACAAATTAATTATATTTTAAAGTATGCAAATATTTATATGTTCAAACACGTGCTGTTTGATTTTCAAACGTTTTTGCGAAAATCTGAACGGCTGATAGGTCTCGTAGAGCAGAACTCAGAAATATATCTCCACTTGGAAATATTTAAAACGAGACATACCTCCATTTTCTTGCAACATACTATTTAAAAAGGTGAATATTATGTGTATTTATTATGGAGCTTTAATGTAAGCCGTTTATAATCATCTTATCGACATTGGTACTGCCATCCAATGAATCTTGGCGGCGGTTAAGCAGAAACTGGTTCTATTGGAAGCGAACAGAATCAGTTCTCCATTTCTGCTCGGGTCAAACCTTCTGCCATATACACAATATAGCCTTACGTTCTTCGTTCTGTTGTTGCTGCTATGTATGATATTATACAGGATTGAAGTTATCTAATTCAACCAGCTTTTTTGTTTCCATGGACACGGCTAACGGTAAACGCATGATAAAAGTACAGGGTTTCAGATAAGGCAGACATATCCGATAAACCAATCAACGTTATTTCATTTACTTTTGTATAATCTAAATAAAACAGTTAATTTAATACGGATTGTCAGATGTAACAAATAATGCAGTTTCGGGTGATGTTGATGGTAGGCAAGGTTAGAGAAGCTTAAAATGATGGATGGTATCTTGTTTTGTTGATGTAGTACAATGTGTAAAAATGACTCAACTCGTGTCCAAATGTTATCTATATTCTTACGTATACATGTCGAGGAAATCTAGTTAAAAATACAAAATGTGGTACATAGGAAAATATTCCAGACTGCATAAATATAATAAAGTCAAGGCTATTGTAAATGTATTTTGGAATAATACACGCCATATATGTATCTGATAGTACCGGACGTATCAACAGACGCGTGCACAACTAGGAAAAATCGTAACAGAACAGTAATAATAGTGTAATCAACCGTTTGATAAATAATATATGTTGACCTTGGCATATTTATATAAGCCAAAATAAACCTGTGCGGAGCCTCTTTCCAAAGCTCCTCGTGGCTATCTAAGACATTTACGCTCGGCAAACAGTGCAATGTACATGACACTATATATACCCCTTAATGGGCCTCACTGTCTTTCCAGATATTTGAGCAGGCACACTTTAATACAAGACATATCTCGATACATAACAGTTCTTCTCCCAGGGTGGCCCCGTTCACAGGACTTTCGTTGGTGAGAATAATGCCGGATAAAAGTACGCATCTCCTTTGATCGCCTCCTTATATAAAAACGGAATCCTCCCCTTCGCTGGCCTCACTATCCATTACGACTCTTTTTGATCGCTAAAAGAAACGAAAACAAATATCAGAAACGAAACAAAATTAACGAGATGTACATTTCCTTTAACTGTCGTAGGACTTTTTGACCTGATTTCGCTTTTACTCCAGCACTGTGTGCGGCGCAATCACAATTAAACCATAAAATAAAAGTTATTTATTAAACCTGACAGCTTTCCTCTTATTTTTCATGATGGAGCGCAACATGTTAATTTCTATATTGTGCTACTAAACAAGAAATATAAAACAAACACAAATAAAGTCGGCGCAGTTGTAACAAAATTGGTATGAAATTTGACTGGGAAAAGAGTTAATTTTAAACTGTTTTCATGAGATGTGTGTTATTTCCTTTCATTTAGTAAATAAGGAAGTAAATAGGCCTAGTATTAATACGTTCCCAAGTACTGTAGAATGGGAACATCCGTTCTCAAGTTCTTGTTCCGTTCTTCTCAAGAACTTCTTCTCGTGCTGACAACCAATGATAATAAATTTATCATGCTACCAGTAGGTGGTATAAAGTAGTATATAGATGATAAAATCATAATACACCCAAGTGGTACATATTATACCGTCGCTGTACATGTCAAATTTTAGTCATATACTAGTGCATATTATACATGTACCGTAATTATGCATGTTTTATTTTAGCTAACTACTTGTGAATATTATACCGTAGTTATTACGTAATTTTAACGTTATATACTGGTAAACATTATACAGTAGTTAATTAGCAAATAATCGGCCTGTTATCCAGTGAATTCGCCCGTGTAATATTTTTACATACGTCACTAGTGTAATATACCCTTGAACGTTTTTCATTTGCTGTGCCAGTAAGAAATCGATTGTGACGTCATAATATGGACAATGACGTGAGGTCACAAATTGTGAATGGCGCAACAAAATAGCTGTCTCCGTGGAATTAAGCCCTCTAAATTTTGGCTTTAAAACTTGTTAATTGTAAATTCTCTGAGTTATGCGATAAAAAGTATCTTAAATTTGTTTTCATTTCATATAAGCTTTTATGTAATTCGTCTGGAAGTTTTAATTTTTGCTCGCCGAAGCTCGCAATATAAAAACTCCTAAGACTCGTTAATCTCATATGAAATAAAAAATAATAAAAAAAAAAAAAAATAAGATCCTAAATATATGTTGTATTTTATTTATATACTAATGAATAGTATACCGTAGTTATAGACATGTTATACCGTGGTAATGGACATGCTATATTATATAAATGTTATATTATATTGTACATGTTGTACTGTGGTATTGGACATGCTATATTATATAAATGTTATATTATATTGTACATGTTATACCGTGGTAATGGACATGCTATATTATGTAAATGTTATATTATATTGTACATGTTATACCGTGGATAATTAAGGATACCATTAGTTATACAAATAGTCATGATTATAAAGTGGATCTCTGTGTCAAAGGGGCAGTGTATTTAAAGGTCGATATAGATCAGATTTGATAGGGCAGGAATTGCACATGCATCGCGCGCAAATCCTTGCTCCCCATATTACCTTTGATATATCTTATCAGGAAGGTATAATGTACAAAATGCGTGTACGTGAATAGACTGAACCCATTTTCTGATATCAAAGTGATATATCACATTCATGGTATTAGTGGCGTTTACCGTAAATTTGACAAAATTTTCAGATAAATATACTGTAGATGTTTTGGAAATACACTGTGTGCCGTAAACTTACAGGAAATACCCCATGACAGGCACGTTAGTCTGTTAACGTTGCTCTTGTGGTACTCGCTTCATGACCTGACCCCACTGACCCCGATGACCTTTGTGACTTTTTTGACCTTGGTGACTGTGGGTTGTCCTCCTCCATGTGGACCATTTGATCTCTGAGCGTCTGTAACTGCATATGTATGTCCTCCATTTGTTTCCTAGCATCATCAAACGCCACGCCCCCTACCTCTGCGGGAGGTCCAATGGCGTAGTATGTCGAGGCCAGGTCCAGGGTGGGTTGGGCCACGTGCTGCAGTGAAGGTGAGGGTGAGGGAGGAGGAGGCTGTGAGCTTTGGGAAGGGGGTGGCATATCAAACACAGGAGGGGGAGGAGGAATGTCGAATTTGCGATGCGCCCATGCTTTTGTCGGTCGAGGTCGACCGACGTCCGAGTCATCCTCGTCGAGGAAGACGCTGTCGTTATCGTCGCTCTCCCGGAATGCTGTGTTTAACACCTTCTGACTTACTTTGATATCCATACGGCTGTTCAGTTCTTTGTATGACCTTCCGTACATCACCTCCCCGTCGTCAAGTTCTCTCCTATCGATCACCATGATTCCTCCCTCTTCGTCGTCTTCGTCATCCGCGTCCATGTTGTCGGAGCTGACATCATCGCGCTGTTCAGACATGTCCAGATCGGACTCGGAACAAGCCAGAGATTTTCGGGATCCAAACGGCACGCGAGTAAATGTTGGGAGCTGACCTTGTCGAAATTCAAAAAATGGCTCCACAGACGGTGTGCCCTCTTCCACACCCATAATGAGGGAATGCAAGGGAGCTAACTCCGGATATTTTTCATCTATTTCTTCCTCTTGATTAAATATCTTCTTTAACGATTTATCAAGGGCTGATGGTTTTGTCGGTTGTTCTATTAATGCCTCTTCGTTTAACGTTGATTGGCGTTTAGGAGGCACTATAGGTGCGTTTCGTTTCATAACAGCCAACTCCTCAGCTGTGTATGCATCTATGACGTCACTCATTATTTCTGAACCTCGTTTTGGAATATTAGACGATGCTTTTTCACTGGAATCAATAAATGACGGTTTAATTTCGGCCTCCATTATTTCGCTAGTGGTGTCACTTTCACAGAAACGCGTAGGCAGTTGAAATAGTTGTCGTTTAATATTTGTCGGCTCTATATGGAGTTCCTCTACAGAAATCTGCCGATTTTTGTTAAAATGTGAATCCTTCTTCTGATTTTCGACATATGCATACTCGTCCCACCTATTGTCGGACATTTCGTCACGATCTGATATCTCTTGTTCGTTCCTTTTACGGAAATTTCTAGAATTTAGCTGGTCATGGTCGATTTTGTTTCGAATTTCAGGTTCACAATATAGTTCGCTTTCCGATATGTCGACACCATCGGACGTGTAACTTACGCTCCGCGGATACCGATGTAAATCCCAAGGTATTGAATATTCATTTTCTCTATAACTGGTCACGTGATCCCGCTTCTCATCATAAATATAAGACGAGTACTCCGAATCACTTGAATAGGAACTCTCCTCTTCCGACGAACTGATGTCACTCTCATTTTCACGACGATCTCGTATAAAATCACGTGACCGTGATGATTTGGAATCACTGTTATTGACCCTCCCATCCAAATCCGATGCTGAGTTGCTTCCCTGAGTAGATCGGGTGGATATGGAGGACCTTTCTAGTCTTTTTGAGAAAGTCGATGGTTTTGTCATCTCGACACACAACAGGTTCTTCTGAATTGCTTTTTCTTTATACAGATTCTCTGTCTCTATCGGTGGAGACATACTCGAATATCCAAGGCCTGCATCTTCCATTCGTTCCCTATCTACGTCACTTCCGCCACTCATTATCATGCATGGGCTAGAAGGTGACAATGACGACGAAGGGCCATTAGTTTCAACGAACTGTAACTTAAGTGTCCCGTCATCCTGACTTTCCAGTAACTGGGATAAACGTTGACAAACAATTCCGCCAAATTCTTCGACCTCCTTGCTTCTCCTCAATGTCACATGATTGTCACTTTCATCATCATCATATTCATCATCATACACATCATCTTCTTCGTTCTCCTCACACAACGCATCCATGGCGGAGGGGCTAGGAGGAGGTACATGTGACAAAACAGCTTTCTCAGGAGGAGGAATAGTCGAAAGAACGGCTACTTTAGGCCCGGATGTAACTTCGTGTTTCTCCGACTCGGTGATACGAGATTCTATTGCCTCAACAACAGTTTCACGAATATTCTGACATTGTTCGAGCTTTGGCACAGTTTTTATTTCTGTAACTCCCGCCATTTTGCGGCGTTCTTCTCGTTTCAGATTACGCTCATTTTCTTCGTTTTCTTTTTGCATAGCAATGTCTACGGCGTCTGAGCTGTGCTGTTTGCTGAGCTGCAAACCAACCAGACCGGCGTCTTCTGCGCATGCCATACGCGAACAAGGCACATCCTTTCTGCTGCTATTATTTATTTGACCAGCATGGTCTAACTGAGGCGTATTCCTTTGTTTTGACTTATCACGTAATGATGCAACTTTTTCATTGGTAGAATAACTAGAGTCATCACTACTTGTGTTCAGCGTCACCAATTTATGAGGTTGTACTCTCAGTAATTTTGGACTCGCTGACCCTGGTTCCGTCGAATAAAACTTAGGACGGCTTGGCGGTGATGGCAGAATATATCCCCTCGGCCTTGGACTTCCAGTTCCTGGAGTTGGCACAAGATGTGGCTGTTTTATTTCTGCGACTTTAGCGCTATTTGAATCACCAGATTTTACAGTTGTATCATTGCGATTTATCTTTGGCGTATTGGGTAAGCTTCTCTCTTTAGTCTTTTTGTCTCGGTTGACGTTGATCTTTTTATAAATAGGAACTGGTGACTTTTGAACAGGCGGAGTTGCTGTTTCTGGCGTGGCATGTCCTGGACTTCCAGCAGACGACACATCGTCCGCCATTCGAAAGTCCATTGGATCGCCGATGCTTTTACGAAATTCCGAAGGATCGACTCGTGCCGGTAGAGTACGTGACCTAACGGTTTGTGTCTGAGGTTCCTTCGAATTGGACTGTGGCTCGTACATTGCGTATCGTTTGGGGTCCTTCCCTTTAAGGGATCCATCCCCTCCTCTCGAAGGCGATGGCGTTTTCACACGTTTCGATTTCTTGTCTTTATATTTCTTGTTTTTCTTCTTTCCTTCACGTGGCAACGAAGTAGATGAATCATTCGCGCCCATCTTTTTCCATATTTCTTCTTCGTCCTCTTTCTGTACATGTTTCTTTTTCTTCTTGTTTCCAAATATGTTACCCATGTTGCTTCCCTTGACAGGTTTGATTGGGGTTTGAGTGCTTGGCGCGCGACCAGGTTTGAGGTAGGTGACTGGCTTTTCTTCTGGCAGTGTTACGAGCGTGAGAGGCGTGGCAAGTCGCTCGGGCAGGTTTGTTTCATGGCGGTGAACTTTTTCAATTTGAGGGTTGAAGATAGCGGCTGAGCTGCAAAACTGGGCTTGGCTGACTCCACTGATTTGTTCGTTGACATAATCAGTTGGAGTAAGGTTTCGGTCACTTGAGGCTGGGATAAGTGCGGGCGATTCGGAAGCGCGGGAATGGCTTGATTCTCCGAGATTCTTGCTCATCCGCTCCGACCTCAGGCCGACGTTACCATGGTGATGGCCTCAAGGCCACTCCCATCTTACTAGGGCATCTTCGTATCTACAATAGAAAACATACAATTGTACTCTTTGAGAACAAAACAAAAACAAAAATGGCGCAATATCGTTTCAAATGAAAGATATTGGTAGAATTTCGATAATAATATGGGATAATGACGAGCTGTATGCCTTACTAGTAAACATATTACCATTAAAATGCAATTTAAACGGGATCTGTTTTGATTATTATTCAATGTATTAGTTGTAAAGTTCAGGTGCAAAAATAAGCCACTTTTTCCAGAAATAGAAAACTACGAGCACGAATAATGACGTCAACATTAGTATCAGATCTCTCCAAGACCCATTAATCAACAAAATAGACATCTCAGACCGCACCAGATCGTACACGTGTAGACAGAGCACTACAAATTGTAACTCCCTAATCTACACATTTATATTTAGAGCCCGATTCCTCTGTTGCTGCTAGTACCAACTTCATGACGCCATACCTACAAATTTATAACTTTCTTCACAAACCATTTAAACTGTCGAGGAGATATGTTTTACAGCGATGAAAGTCAAAGTTATCTCTTTATAATGTACACTCATCGACTGAAATGAAGTATTTCTATCAAAGACTCCAAGTATCCAGATTACAAAACTGTACGTTTCCACTAACATACGATGATGTAATAATGTATTTATTACAGAGGCTGCAAGCGATACCGAGATCATACGCTCGATGGTTTTCTTGTAAAGGAATGTTATATCATAAGGAATTTCATTATTAAAGTACTTATTTTGATATAATTTGATTTCATCACTCATTTTATTCATTATTTTCGAAGTTTCCATCAACAAACTGCCTTTTTACTTTTTATTTCAGTACGTATAATTTTAAAACGCCGGAACTGTTTTGTGAAAAGAGACAATGACATTAACACTCTTAAACTGTGTCAAAAGCTGCGCCATGAGTGAAGGTTGCCCGTAGAGCAGAAATCGTTTCTGGGTGATGCATTCCTTAAAATTTGAACAGATTTTATATCAAATCTGGGCAATGGATGTGTAATTTAGATAATTAGGACATGACGGATGATTAGGAATTATTTAATGGCGAACAGTTGTAAAGTTTAACCATCTTATTTCAATAGTTACACTTAGGCAAGGTCATTGTTTAGTTATAGTACCCGTTTATTGTTCAATATTGTCATTTTCAAATATTTTCATGAGTGGGACACTAAATGATATATAATGTGAATCCCTATACAAATATTATTATACTGCCATGACAACTGCATGGAACTATTTTCTAAGACGTGAATCAATGTCATGCATGTATGTTATACATCATTTTCGACTCTTACCTGCGTTTCAACGAAACAAAGATTCTTTATAAATAAATATTAGTTAAAATAAAGCGTGGACTGTTGTTTGGGTAAGGATTCTGTTGGTTAAGTTCATGTATATGTGTACCATTTTGAGGTTTGTAGTATATCAAAGAAATGTTATGACTAATAAAACAGAATAAATTATTCTCGTGTGATGCTGACTGGGACATATCAACCCGAACCACGTAGGGTTATCCCAAAGGTTGAAATTTTATATGTCTGCAAGACACAGAAATGAGTGATTTTGTTCCTATAGTAAACCTCTGGTATAAATGTGGTGCATCTATATACTAGTACAATAGCAGTTTATTGGAACATGGGGCGTTGCTAGTAACAATTCGATTAATTGTGAATTGTTTTTTCAATAATTAATATAACGATATTGTCTGTGACGCTGTAAATATGTGTCTTGTTATGAACAAAAAGTGACAGAAAGTTGTGAAAGTATGCCAATTGGACCAAATCCTAACATTCGGGACAAGACAACACAGTGTACTAACGTCTATATATTGTCAGGAGCAGACGGGCTAAATTATACAGTCCTCTCTCTATTTTGGTAATGGGACAGAGAGTAGTTTAAGTGAAAGATTGTGTCTATACACTGTTAATGAGACTGAGAGAGGCCAACTTTTACGATCGTCTCTCTACTACCAATTACATGTATATAAAAATCATGTACACGCGACTGAGGCCATTCTAGCACTATTTGTGTTGATACGATGCCAAACTCATTGAGATATATTTGTACCTTTCCGTTCTTACCTAATCATCCCCTCCCTCCCCCATACCCTCCTTTGAGTGCTTACATACACGAGAGAAAGGTATTTGTATATATATATATCCCCTTCCTTCACTTTCCTTCCGACCCCTCCATAGGGAAAACAACCATAATCAATTGATTGTAAACAATAACAATTAAACTCGTACCAAGAATATGGCGGGAATTTACATCACCGCGAGCAGACGAGAGTTGTACACAGCGGAGTTGATGAGTCTGACGCCTACTGATGTCAATTTCTTTAAAAAAAAGTGTTTGGCAAATGTTATTAATTCCGTAAATGTTTGGCATATCAACCCTAGAAACCAGCTCGTGCTGTGTCAGTGCCCGGGGCTGATGTACGCCATCCGTGTGTTACGGCCTGATTGGGCGCCATCTTGATTAACATTCGCCTTGTTCTGAACGAGAACACGGATGAGCCTTTTCTCTTCAATAAACCCCCTACTTCTCAGAATATTACTGCTCCCTTGTTCTTAGCTATTCTAAAAATATTTCTGGTCAAAGGTTCCTTGATTATATAATCTTAATGTCAGTATATGTCCATAATTACATCACCGGCAGACAGACGAACACATAGATGGTCGCGTGAGCCGTATGTGAGAGATTTCTTTGTCATAACATCATGGTAAAGAATTATTGTTACGGTGAAAAGGAATATCTCTAGATCAACAGCCCAGCTTAATGATGTCATTATAATTGTAAAAATAACGTTATTTAGTTGTGTATATTGTTATGTCAAAAGTTTGTGTAGCTTGTCTACACAATAACGGTTGACAGAGAAATTAAAACAAAAGACAATTCAATGCAAGATGAACTATTTGTATTCCGTAAGTATCACAACAAGATTCGTTTTTGCTTAAATCGAACTGTGTTAAGATGGCGAACTTTTAAAAATTCAGAAAACTAACCTTCGGGTTGAGATCTCTGTTATCATTATAGGTTAATCTTGGTTATCACTTTAGTTTATCTTTGTTATTTCTATTTTATCTTTGTAATCACTATTGTTTTATCTTTGTTATATTAATAGGTTTATCATTGTTATATCTATAAATATATGTTTGTTATGTATAAAGGTTTATCTTTGTTATCACAGAAGGTTTATCATTGTTATCACAGTAGGTTTATCATTGTTATCATTATAGGTTAATCTTTGTTATCACAGAAGGTTTATCATTGTTATCATTATAGGTTAATCTTTGTTATTACAGAAGGTTTATCATTGTTATTATTATAGGTTAATCTTTGTTATCACAGAAGGTTCATCTTTGTTATATCTATATGTTTATCTTTATTGTAACTTTAGGCTCATCATTGTTATATCTATAGGTTTATCTTTGTTATATTTATAGTTTTATCTTTGTTATAACTATAGTTTTATCTTTGTTATATCTATAGGTTTATCTTTGTTATATCTATAGGTTTATCTTTGTTATATTTATAGTTTTATCTTTGTTATAACTATAGGTTTATCTTTGTTATATCTATAGGTTTATCTGTGTTATATCTATAGGTTTATCTGTGTTATATCTATAGGTTTATCCTTGTTATCACTATATATATACGAAGCTTCTGCTTTGAATAAAAACCATACGGGACCTCCCAAACTAATTTTTACAACATATTCGAGTCCACAACAAATACAAAAAATACAAGTCTTTTGTTGAGTAAACATGAACTACCTTCTTACTCTCAGGCAAGTGCGACAAATTTTACAAAAAAAAAATGTTGTTTTCATCAGCCGGGCCATTTGCTCATTTACGGTTTTCTCAAAATACTATTTTTGGTGATTTTAAAAGGGATGTCTTGACGACGACCAGTTTCCCTTTGCGCAGCGCGTTTAATTGAAACTTGGTGAAAAGTAATGCCAAATAACACGTGCAGACGTTTCAACTTGAGGAAAACCAATCCCAAAGAGAAAATCTATTCCGAAGTCGCTTTTAACTTTATTTTAAGTATCCCCAAACGGTCTCTCCGTGATAATGGATTTACCATGTTACTGGTATTGGTGGTATAAAGGAGTGTAGGCATGATGAGAAGTTTATCTTTGATTTTACTGTAGTTGATATTTGATGTGTCTTTGTAGGTAAATATTTGATGTGTTTTGTAGGTTTATATTTGATGTGTCTTTATACAAAAATGTAGGTAAATATTTGATGTGTTTTGTAGGTTTATATTTGATGTGTCTTTATAGGTAAATATTTGATGTGTTTTGGGGGGTTTATATTTGATGTGTCTTTGCAGGTTTGATGTGTCTTTGTAGGTTTATATTTGATGTGTTTTTGTAGGTTTAGATTTGATGTGTTTTGTAGGTTTATATTTGATGTGTCTTTGTAGGTTTGATGTGTCTTTGTAGGTTTATATTTGATGTGTCTTTGTAGGTTAATATTTGATGAGTCTTTGTAGGTTTGATGTGTCTTCATAGGTTTATATTTGATGTGTCTTTGTAGGTTTATATTTGATGTGTCTTTGTAGGTTTATATTTGATGTGTCTTTGTAGGTTTATATTTGATGTGTCTTTGTAGGTTTATATTTGATGTGTCTTTGTAGGTTTATATTTGATGTGTCTTTGTAGGTTTATATTTGATGTGTCTTTGTAGGTTTATATTTGATGTGTCTTTGTAGGTTTATATTTGATGTGTCTTTGTAGGTTTATATTTGATGTGTCTTTGTAGGTTTATATTTGATGTGTCTTTGTAGGTTTATATTTGATGTGTCTTTGTAGGTTTATATTTGATGTGTCTTTGTAGGTTTATATTTGATGTGTCTTTGTAGGTTTATATTTGATGTGTCTTTGTAGGTTTACATTTGGTAATCATCTGTTATAACTAGGAAAAACGTGGATGGGTCATAATTCTGTGTGACAAATACAGAAACATGCTCAGGGGCAAAACGAAA